AAATTTTCTATTTGTAGCTAAATAAAAAAAAAAATGGGGCATATACTGGAATAAGAACTTCTTTCAAGTACTCCAATTTTCATGTCTATTAACTATGGCGTTTTCATGGTTAGACTGCTTTTGAAAAATGTATAGGAAGGGGCCAAATCGACTGCTTTGTTTTGGGTTTGTTCTTTGAAGCGTGTCCTTTTTTCTTTAATAAGCTGTGTTAAAACTGCAACATCAAGGGTAGAAAGATTATTTTTTTTTTAAAAAAAAAGGGGCGATTGCATTATTTTACAAATCATACTGGCCTTATGAACATCCTCTGCAATAAATATTCTTTTTAGCCTTAACTATAAATTATATATTTTAGTGTTTAAAAACCTTCAGTTGTAAAACATCTAGCGACAATCCTTAAACTATGTGTCCTATATGTGAACCTTTAAGGCCCCTAATTTATAAAGATGAGTTGGCACCAAAGGATTTCTAAACTTCAACTTTTCTATAGAAAAGGATAGGAAGATATCCTGGCAATTTGTGAATGCAATTTCTCTCACTGGAACACAACCTTCGGCAAAAAAAAAAATCACCTCTCCTCTAACACCATAGTTAAATGCACTTGCTTTGCAATTCCAAGTTTGCGAACAAGCACTTATATATTTCCAAACCATTCCATTAAAAAAAAAATTCCCACACAATAAAAGAATGTATTTCCTATATCTAATGGACTGAAAGTGCTTTGAATGGAATGGTTTTAGAATATTACGAACAAACAATAAAAAAAAAAAAAAAAAAAAAAGACTAAACTGTGGATTGAACCTGACCATAATTAGGCTGAATATCTGTGGGGTCAGACCAGCATTTTACACAGGTAACTACAAAAATATGAAGATTACAAAAATATAATATATTATGTCACTATTTCGGTTTCTCTTTATAATAGAGTATCGTATGAGTAGTACATTGGCCTTTCCCAACAATGTTAAGCTGGAACCCTACAAATGCCTTATGCACAGGCAATCCACAGGCACAAAAAAAAAAGATTAACATATAATAATGCTGCATACTAACATACACTAACTTATGGGTTACGTTAACCATTTATAAGGTGAAGAGGATAAAAAAAAAAAACCTAAGGAAATAAAATAAACATTTACAGATGAATTATAAAGTGACTAAATGCATAAGCAAGCAAGATACAGAAAAGCCTAGAACTGCGTTAAAGCTATGCTTTTTAAAGAAAAAAAAAAAAGAATATTTCATTTACTATCTAAAAAAAAAAAAAAAACCCTCTTCTACTTTAAAAATGGTTGGTTGGTTTGTTTTGTATGTAAGAAATCAAATCTAATACCTCCCCTGGAGACATTTTGTGTGTTAATGCCTATTTTTACAACATACAGACAAGAACACTTTAATATAAAAACTAGTTGATTATTATTGTATAAAATCCTCTATTTTTGTAGCACAAACCCCTGGGGGTAATGCAAATACTATTTTTTTCTTTTTTTAAGACAGTTTTTGGGGTATTTTTTGTTTATTTGTTTGTTTGAAGTCACAGATGGAAGGGAGACAGAGCAAGAAAAAAATATAACAAGACTGGTTTTCCCTTCTGGTATAAAAATGTCCTGGAGAAAAGGGTTTCTGGGGGGGAGATCCTGATGCCGATTCCTTCTCAGATGCCCTTTCTTTGCTTTTCTCGCCAAGCAAACCCATTAGAAGAAGTCCTCTTAAATGTTCACATCTCGCACATCAGTAGGTGTGCAGGAAAGGTCTGCTTCATCCTCTACAGTCTTTGTTTCTGAAGATACGTTGTGCTGCTGTGCCTGACGTAGACTGGATTCAAGGAGGGATTCAATCTGTTCTTGGCAGGCTCGTAAACAATCCTAGAGAAGATTAAATGGAAGGAGAAAAAGACCCAGGGCCCTTTAGAAAAAAAAAGATCACAGACCAAATACCGTTTCTTGAAAAAGCAAGAGAAATATAGGGGGATTGGAACTCAATGATCTTTTAAGGTCCTTTCCAACTCTAACTGTTCTATGACTCTATGATTTGGGAAGGCAGCAGACTAAGTGTGGGAAGACCAAGAGAAACACTGACTGGTGAAAGCTCCCCCATTTTCTGCAGGATGCCAGCCTGGATCCAGACTTGAGCAACTAACTTTTATCATCTGCTATTTAACAGCCATGGTAAGCATCTCCATACATGGTCCTCTGGACAAACCATGAGTGCCGTCGTGTTGGTGGTCTCAGCCAACAGGGTCTACAACAAGGTCCAGGCAGAACCTTGACACAAGAAGATATTAAAGCCTGTACTACTACTTCAGCAGTTCTGTAAAAGTCCATTCATACCATCTTTTACCTTCACTGTTCTTTATAACTTTTGAAAAATAGGAACAGTCTGACTGGACAGCAGCGTGAATCAATCAAAATTAAGTGAGTGGAGTTGCAAAGACATGAAAGTGGGCTGGAGTCAGAGTTGGTCCAAGCATTGCTGATGCTGTAAAGATTTCTCATTTACCAAAAAATCACTTTGGCAGGACAGTCTACTAGAAGCCATGGTCATGAACAGTGATTTTCCCAGGCTGAGTTCTGATAATATAAAGTTCTTAGATAAGTGCTATGTATATATTTAAATATAACGTGCCCAAAGTTGCCTGCCAGCTGCTGCTATGTTCATCAGTACCTAACTGATGTCTAACTCGGAAAAGCATCTGAACAGAAAAAAGTGCTGGAAAAAATGATCCCAAAATGGAGAGATCTTTCAGAAACATCCTCATAACCACGCATCATAAAGAGCTGCCAACCTTTCTGTTTGCTACCATATTCACTTTGAAATCTCAAGTCAGGGTGGGATCTCTTTCCCTTGCTTCAAAAGCATTTTCTGGGAGCTGAACACAGCTGCACACAATCCTGCTGAGGGTTTAGGAGGACACAAGGACCTCGCCGCTTGCCCAGACCTCCTCAAGGAGGATCACGTCTCCCATGAAGAAAGGTAACTTCCCCCAGGCACTAAACCATTATCATGAGTAGATATATCCATTTTTACTCATCGATCCCCAGCAATTAGAATTGGAGAAGGCCTGTCAGCTCAACCTCTTCAACTTTCTGCACGTTAGGGTTGTGTTCTCCAGAGCCATTGCGACGCCACAAAAGGTGCCCTAAACAGGCAAAACAATCGCACGACGTTTTGCCAAAAATTCCTCCAGCGTGCTGTTTACTCGTATCTTTATAACAAACATCGTAAGCTTTTCCCCCCAACATCTTTAACTCTGTGTATTAAGGACTTTGAAGTTTCCTTTCAGTATTGCCTTTTCTGATTTAACCTATGACATGTGTTAGCCCTTGCGGTGAACCCAGTCTTCCATGATAAATTGCCGTCAAAAGTGTTAGGATGTGCATGACTGAGAATGAATGTTGTTTTCCTGAGAGGGTGACCTGCCTGCTGTTTTCTTTATTTCCCAGTTTCAATTCTGCCTTCATTCAGAGGCTTCTTGTGTGATCTACCAGCTTTTCACTGATTCCACTACCACAAGAATCTCCTCTGCCACCAATAAGGGCACATGGCATTTGGGGTAAAATAAGATTAGAAACCCAAGCAAACAATTCTCTGCAAGTCCTTTCTGAGAGAGAGGGAGGTTAATCCTACCTCTAAGCAGATCAGACCATCAGTTACAGCTCACTGAAAACACATAACCTATGACCTTTTCTGGTTTAAACCCTAGTGTAATATTTCCTCTTGACAGAGACACACAGCGTTTTAAATGACAAAAAGAAACGCCTCATATCCTAAAGTCATCATGCCTTTGGCTCCTGCATACCTCTGGCCTCCACAATAAGGTCTCTATGAAGTCCTTCTACCCCATCTCCAGATATGACGGATCAGTCCTGACTGTAGGGCTTCTCCTTGCATGTCCTGTACCCCCTACCTCAGTCACGCTTGGAATTAGATGGACTGAAGGCTGGTACATGAATACATCTTTAGGTATTTTCGGTTTTACAAATCCAGGCACTTTTGAAGATAATTCTGTTTTAACAAGGTAGCACGTTCAGTGTTCCACGCTGAAAGCCCTTTTTATTTTCAGAGCAAAAACGAAGCCTGTTTGCTTTTTTTGGGGTGGGGCGGGGGGTGTTTTGTGGGTTTTGGTGGGGTTTTTTTTTTGGTTGGTTTTTTTGTGTTTTTTTTTTAATCCTACCATTTGCATATAGCATGTCTGAGCTCTGAAAACTAAAACCATTCAAAAGAATTTCTATAAATACCTATTCTTCTCCCTCTGGAGTCCAGTCATGAGTAATTACATAGGACTATGTAATTTAAAGGTAATTTTTGACCACAGAGATATTTTTTTTTTTCCTGTGAGATTCTCCGAGTACAGCATATTGTAACTGCATGTTTTTAAAACATAATCTTTACAATTATGAACAGACTATGTCTTAAGCTACAGTTGAATGAACAATATTTTCTTAATGTTTTAGGCATTTTTGTTCAAATCTCTTCTGATTCAGATGACTGTTAGATGAAGAGTTTTTCTGCAGGGATGTAGTAGAGCTAGCAAAAATAACTGCAAAATACAACATGAACAACCTCACCAAAGCTTTTCTTCATTCTCAGTACTTCTCAACACCGCGAAGCAAATACAAAACTTGTGCATTACTCTGATAACTTCTCCCAACAACTTTTCTGCTTCACTACCCAAATTTTCAATGCCCACAGTTTGTTCAAGGTCATAAACCCTTCCTGGATTAATTAAGCTCCTCGGTGGAAAAAAAAAAAAAAAAAAAACAAAAAAAAAAAAGACTTGCTAGTTTAACTGATGTGGTCAAATACCTTTAACACACACACACAGTAGACATGATCAGACTCCAGGGTCAGATACTAAAGGAAACAAACAACAACAAAAAAGAAACTGCTTGGAAATCCTTTGTTAGTGCCTGACCCGCTCTGGATAACAAGCACATGTTTGAAGGTGCCTCTGAGCAGGGGCAGGCAGGAGAGGAATTCCGCTGCACTAACAGACAGCATGGAAACCCAATCTAAGCTAGTTTAGCAAATTTCTGGCCTGGAAATGAATGTCAGGTAAAATTCAATCTGTTTGGGTGATGGGGTCAAGAATAGAATGATGGAAGACAGCCCAAGACTTCTAATTGTGATTATCTGACTTCTAATTACCCCTGATCAAAGGCAAAATGGGAAATTGGACTCCTACCAACGTAAACATGAACCATAAAGGAATTCCAATCAGGTGATATTCATTTTACTTTAGATTCAGCTTTCTTTGAGACTAAAGGTAAAAAAGTGTAATTATATAACCTGCAATCCAACAGAGCAGCTGCTCTAGCTAATAGATAATCAGGGAGGACGTTAGCCATGTTATAATGCACACTCTTTCGAGACAATCCAATATAAAAGTGTGTTCATTTGTGTGGTCTGACAAGGGGAACTCATCATGTGCAGAGCAGCAAACTTCCTGCACGTGCTCGTGAAATAAGGCAACAGGAATTGCATTTGATGCCATGGATTGCACAGGCAGGGCTAGTAGGAAATTCTCTGTGCAGGGGAATCACGCTAGGTATGAAGCCAAGCAGTTTTCTCTACTCAAAGTAGTGAAAACTGCTGTTCCCTTACTCCAGCACAAACACAACAGTATACACATGTGTAGGTATAATTCTATGATGCTTCTGTTCTGGAGCAACCTACACAAACCCCTTAGTTCTAACTCTAGCTGCTCTAACACATGAATATATTTAGCAATGAAAGATGGAGGGGAGTTACTTCCTTTTAAAGCTCTTAAATTCGGGTTACACAAATCGTGGCTTTGCAATGACTCTGGACAATAAAAAAAGAAATAAGCAAGGATTCTCCTTGCTAGAACTACCTTTTCTTTTTAAAGAGCTCTGCCATCAACTAAGTCAAGTCACGTAAGGACACGCTGTTGTTCTCAAAGATGTGAGATAATCTACTTCAATGCTTTGTGTCAGGAATAGTTAAATAATGTTTTTGTTTGAATCAGATACTGCCAGAACAGATAGCAACCCTAGTTATTTTTCCTCAGTACCTGCTTCAGGTATCTCACATTGAATAGTGGCCAACTATACCCTGAGGTATCTACATTGTTCACAAACTGACTACAATCATTACACGTACATACCAAACTGAGCAGCACTTTACCTCAGCATCTTATACTGATAGTTATAAGTTCTTATACTATTTAACATATCAGCACTGTTACTTTAGCTTCAGTAATATAAATAGCAAAAATAACATGCTCAATACTGAGGCGTTGTTAAGGTGATCGAAATAATAAGCTGAGATATGGTATTTGTCAGCAATTGTTTCACATGGTCTATCAAAAGTAAAATATTCTTTTGTGAATAATTAATTATGATGCATTCATCTATCCAGAAATCACTCCGTCCTGTCAACAAAATCCAATTATGCAAACCTAGTTTTGCAGTGTCTGGACTAGTACAGTTGTCTAGGTATTTAAATTATTAACATGTAAAATAATTTAACAGCATCCCAAAGATTGCGCCGCTAACCACAGAGTTGTCTTTATTTGACTCATTGTCCAGCGCTTGGAGACCTCACAAGAACCTTTTTAAAGCATCTATTTATTGGTCTTCCACATTGTTACAAAACAAAGCTCAACTCTGCCCCAACTTCACACACCATTATGACATGGATCATTGACTTTAGGTCTTCCTTGTAGGCTCCCTTCCTGGCCCATTCACTCATGAAAGGTTTATTGCTGGCTAGTTACTGATGTGCATCTCCTGGAAGCTGCAGGGCAAAATGAGAGTCCTGTGAGGACCATCTACCTTGTCAGAAAAGTCGTGGGACAAGCATTTGTTCCGAAAAAGGAATTCAATACCAGCTACTGTGCAGGTCTAGCACGTAATAAACCAAATTAGATCATTAGAACTCTTTTAAGAAGGGCTTTTTCACACCACTTGGCACAATAAAAGGCCTCGAGAATGGTCAAAGATAAGGTCAGAGATACCACGAGGTCTGGGTAACTACTTCCTCGCCTTACTTTCAAAGTTTTGTTTTACATAGAGCCCTGGTTTAATTACCTACAACCAACCACAGCCTCTGCAACGTCCTGAATGGACACAGGGTTTCCTTTCCTTTGGTGGATACACCTCTTACAAACATCAGAGCTGGAGGTGGCATTCCCATCAGCCAACTGCAGCGTAATCACCCATTATTAATGGATATAACGACAGCCAACTAACTCGGATGGACACAACAGAACACGTTCAAAAACTCCACTTTTGAGGTTTGATTTTTGTCAGGGTTTACTGTCAGATTCACCACTTTGCAGTGAGCAGGCATTCATTCTTAAAACTCTAAGGCAGGAGAAAAGAGTCACTTACCGGATCACATTTGATAACTTGTGATAGGAAATGTGTGAGGCATTGATAGGAGAGGAAAGTGTTAGTGTTCCCCAGGTGCAGGCCTTGCACAGCTGCTACCACACTGCCAGCTGCGATCATGGAAGGCGGGTTTGAAATAAATTTAATATCTGTATGAAGAAAGAAGAGAAAGAAAAAAAAAAAAAAAAAAAAAAAGACTGAAATGATTGCTTTAGGAGAAGCCTGCCCATACACATACGCCCTTCCACCAGCATGGCTTCAGCTGCCAACTATTGCAACTGAAAAAGGTAGGGAAAATTGTGAGCAGAAAGGTGCCTCCTGCTCTAAACTCTTACAGGTCCAAACCTGTAAATGCTTATCCACATGAGCCAACTGGACTGGAGTGAGTAGCCCTTCCTAGCGCTGTGCCTGGGAGGCCACTCATCACTCCGAGGTATTTTTATCATAAGCAGGGCCCCCCTTCTTCAAACATTAAAATACTCTGCTCGTGTGAATAATGCCACTGGGGTCAATGGCATCGTATTATCTGAGAGAACCTATTCACATTCTTAAGCATTTGGCAGGATCAGACTCTAGGTGTGCTCCAAGAAGGAGTCTCAGACCCTTTAAAGCGGAAACCTTTGCACCGACATTCGAAGGAATATAGCTTTAATGAGCAACAACATCAACAAAAAGACAGAGAGAGACTGCTTCACCCTGTCAGGAGGCAGATAATCCATATTTAAATTCAGGTTTCATCTTAAAAATGCTTTGTCTCAACCTAGTCTCTTGTCAGTGGCTGCCATCCATCCTGGCAACAGGGATTTAATGTAAATGTGGCATAACTAAGTGACGGGGGTCCCAAGAATTGGCGGATAGGGAAAATTGTGAGCAGAAAGGTGCCTCCTGCTCTAAACTCTTACAGGTCCAAACCTGTAAACGTTTATCCACATGAGCCAACTGGACTGGAGTGAGTAGCCCTTCCTAGCGCTGTGCCTGGGAGGCCACTCATCACTCCGAGGTGTTTTTATCATAAGCAGGGCCCCCCTTCTTCAAACGTTAAAATACTCTGCTCATGTGAATAATGGCACTGGGGTCAATGGCATCGTGTTATCTGAGAAAACCTGTTCACATTCTTAAGCGTTTGGCACGATGAGAGTCAAGGTGTGCTCCAAGAAGGAGTCTCAGACCCTTTAAAGCAGAAACCTTTGCACCGACATTCAAAGGAATATAGCTTTAATGAGCAACAACATCAACAAAAAGACAGAGAGAGACTGCTTCACCCTGTCAGGAGGCAGATAATCCATATTTAAATTCAGGTTTCATCTTAAAAATGCTTTGTCTCAACCTAGTCTCTTGTCAGTGGCTGCCATCCATCCTGGCAACAGGGATTTAATGTAAATGTGGCATAACTAAGTGACGGGGGTCCCAAGAATTGGCGGACAATCAGTTACATTCTGATGTGACACCATGCTGACAAGAGGCTGGGCCCCCTTCCAGACTGCATTGCTGTAGGTCTCTCCACAAAGCCACTCCCATGATTCCTTCAGGGGCTATCTCTGCCATTTAACATGTTTTTGGTTTGGGTTTTTTTTTTTTGGTTGTTTCTTTTTTTTTTTTTAATAATAAAATAATCCACATTTTAATGCTACAGCTCTTTCTGCCGAAGAGGAATGCGTTTGATCCGTGGCAGTGTACACCTTGGAGGAGAATGAGAAACAAAGGAAGTAAGTGGCACAAGTAAACGTCTAATTTAGTGAGGAAGAAAGGGAAATGCCACATTATACACAAGAACCTGAGATACATTCCTTCAGCTTTTATCAGAATACAACTTCCTCCGGGTTGAAAAAATATAAACCATCTGTCAAAGCCTTGAATGAAATCAAAGGAATGGGCAGCTTAGAGGGCTCCGTGGAACAGTTCAAGTATTAAATCATGCATCTACTTTATTATGATAAAATAACTTTTGTCTAAATGTTTTACCGGTGAAACCAAAGACTTTGGGACTTTAGGCAAGTCCTCTCTCTGAGTCCATTCATCTACCTCTGACACTCCATGGTAGCCCAGACCAATACCCACCTTCAAAGGGGCATTTTGCCCATCGTTCTATGAACCTTCACAATTAAACCAACACAATCAATTGTGGCCAAAATGCCAGTGAAAAGGCAAACTTGATCTAAAGTCATCTCATTTGTGTTACCAGGCTTAAAATAAATTTAGTTTATCCCTTTTTCCTGATAGAGAAATATACCCAGCTTCTAGCAAACTTCTCTCATTCCCAAAAATTGAAGTAGTCCAGACTGCTTATCCACACTCTACGCCTTCCAAAGCCAGTCCCCTCACCGAAATACCAACAGATGGCTGCAGGTAAGACTTCAGGCACGAGGGGTTTCAGTGGGCAAGCGTGAACTCCACCAAGCTGGGGTAGCTCAGAGGGGTACAGTTGGCAGCACGGTCGCGCCACTATTTACCCAGCTCCGCAAAGAGAACATGACCAAAATGTGTCAGTTTAATGAGGCCTTCCCGACAGGATCACGTTTGGGATTAATATTTGCGTTCTTCTTTTAAATGGAGCAGTAAACAAGAACATGAATTCATAGTCACACCCTCATTCTTTCCAAGGTGGAAAAGTGATAATGAAGTTTAAATGACCAGTTTGTGTCTGTCCCTATAACCACTCCAGACAAGCAGCATGGACTGCCTTTTTGTTGCAACTCAACAAGGAATTATTTGTGGCAGAGGCCACTAATTTCAGCATATTAATCAGGGGGCCCCTCTCGCCTGTAATTGGATGCCCCCAAGTGAAGAGTGTGGCATCATTGTCAGCCTCCATCGCCTCATCTTGCGCTATTGAGCGCTCAGGAACAAGGGGGCTTCGGTGAGATGAATTAGACCTGACACAGCCACAATGGGGTAGGGGGCCCCATCAATTGAAGCACACATCCCCAGTAGCCTATCTGAGACTTCATCCAAAAAGAATAAACAACTTCAGCGTTGTTAAAAAGAGAGAGAGAGAGAGAGAGAGGAGGGGGAGGAGAGAGAAGAATGCCAGCCACCCTGAAGGGAGGACAAAGCAGGCATATAGGCGCTGCAGCGCTTTAAAAAAAATTCCTAACAAGGCGAGTCACCCCTTTTCCTTTTTAAATGGAGCAGCAATTCCATCCGTCTGGAGAGCTGGGGGCTATGAATGAAAATCTTTTCATTGAGGCAAATCAAAACTGCGAACATAAATCACTTGCTGCAAGATGCAACAGGTTCCAACTGGTCACATACCTTGAGACTTCCAATTTTATAAAGGCCAGAGAATGGGAGAATTGTAACGCGCTCGTTTCAAAGGGGAATCGTTCTTGCTCCAGCCCAGGAGGAAAGCAACAACAATAATAATAGCAATAATAATAATAATAATATAAAAGGAGCCTGGTATGTTTTGATAACCAGAGGAACATAATGAAATGCTGAAGCTCCAATATTTGTTGCTATTCATTGTTATGCTTGTATAGAGCTGCAGTTCTCCCTCAACACTGGTCTTAACTTGGGCCAAAAGAGGCCTGCTTCCTTTTGAGCTCTCCCTGCCTTGCTCGGCCATGCCAAAGCCCCATTCATTAAGCTCAATTATGTGTTGACTTCAAACAACCCCTGGTAATTTTTTTCTTCTTTTTTTCTTTTTTTTTTTTTTGCTTTTTCTCCCAAACCTACCACAGCACAAAGCCATCCTCTGGTGAAAATGGATTTTTTCGAAACTAGACCAAATCAAATAAATCCATTTCTATAGGCCAGACAAATGAAGAGGGAGCTTAGAAGGAATTCCCCTCAACCTCACCTTGCAGTGTAACCTTCTACACGCTCATCTACAGACACTTCCACAGCCTTCACCTCGTTAAGCCAACTGATGGAGGTGTTTATTTTCTAAGCAAGAGTTATTCTGCCATCCCTTCTTAGGAGACCCTCCTTTGCAGTAGAGGACACAGGCTGTACTTCAAGCAAAGAAAGGATACACTGCACTTGCCCCTGAGGCCACTTGAGCCAGTGTCAGTGTTTCCAGTGGACTTTGGATTGGGCCCCACAGCATCCAGGCAGCACAACGCGTTTTGCAGTCCATCTAGGTTCATTTTGGCAAAGGGGAAATAATACAACACAACCCCAGCAACAGCAAAGCAAAGTCCAGATGCTACTTAAGCCACATGTGATCTTCCACTAGCCAACAAAGAAGTCATGAGGAAAGCAAGAGGTAGAGAAAATCCCGACATCCAAAAATAACAATAAAAAATACAGAGCCTGGTGGCAGCCTTCCTGAGCGCTCTTTCCCCAGGCAATATTCCCAACTTCAGTAGGGAGCTGAAGAGGGCCCCAATTCTGGTGAGCTCAGCACTGGGTTGTTTTTTTTTTTTAAAAGCTAAGTAAAACTCCCAGAACATGGTTCTCATTTACTGATCCATTCTCCAGCTGTGGTGTGTAGCAGTGTTAAATAAAGGCTCTGGATGTGCTTCCTAAAAGAAACATAACAACACCGACAGTAGATCAAAGTACTGGACTCTTAGCAAGTCTCCAACCTTTGAACTACTCTTGTTTTCATCCCTGTCATTGCCAACAGAACAACCTAGGTTAAACATCCCCATATCCAAAGGGGAGGCCGGGTAGCTGTTCTTTTTTAGCTAACAGCCCAGGAAGCTTCAAACTTAGCAAATCACGCCTTCCGAGTCGCAGCAGCCTTTATCTCAGTAGAATCTGACACAGAGAGTTAACGGCTGATTTTTCCCCAAAATGTTGCTGCAGGTAGTTTGAAGGCTGTTTGAAGGTTGTAGAGCTCCCAACACTGAGCCTTCTTCCAGGCAATCTAATTTACACACTGCCCGTTATGCTGATGTGAGGCCCGAGATGGAGAGCAGTGCCAGTATTTATAAATTTCTCTTTTATGGCTCGGTCGTTCTATCTTTAGGCCTTGCAGTAAGGCAGATTCTGTGAAATCTTTTTTTTTTTTTTCTTCCGAGTGCCTGCAATCTTTCTTCAATCTTTTTTACCAAATCCATCTCTGGAAAATAAAGCTACGCAACATTAATTTGTGCCATTGGCCACATGCATCCCACCGAGGTTTTCAAGCTTGGATACCTCTTCTCAGGTCCAAATGCAGGCTTGATCCCTCTTCTTTTTTAGCACAACCGCTACTGAATATGAACATTTACTAAAGCACAGTATCTCCTTTACACTAAGTTTTTTATCAGTGTCAACAGAGCGTCTGGCATTCCTCTTTACGTGCTACTGCAAAAGAACGTTTGCTTTGGCTGCTTTTTCTTCCTTCTTCTTTTGCCATCCCTGGATTGGTCCCGCCACACTAAAAACGCGCCGAACACGTTTTGTTTAAACAGAGCATCTTCCCTCTAGAACTTCCTTTTGTCCCTGCTCCTCCTCTCCGTTTTGTTTAAACAGAGCATCTTCCCTCTACAACTTCCTTTTGTCCCTGCTCCTCCGCTCTGTCCTGTGGGAACAGTGAGATCTGGAGAACAGAAAGAGTCTTCTTCTTTTTTTGGGGGGGGGGTTGATTTTTTTTTCCTTCTTTCTTTCCTTCCTTCCTTCCTTTCTTCCTTCCTTCCTTCCTTCCCACTGGTGAGGGTTCAGCGGGTAAAGCACAAAACGTGTGCACACACACACACACACAGAGTCCACATGCAAACATGGAACTTCAAAAGAGCCAAGCGCTCTCTCCCGCGCACGCACGGTGCCCTTGAAACCAAAGATCAGGCCTTTTTTTTTTTGTTTTTTTTTTTTTTTTTTTGGCAAACCTGGCCTGGCCAACAGTCGGCGTCTTTGGAGGCCGGCCCCGCACATGGCTCCAGCGCAGCACGTGGTCCCAAGGGTGCAGATGGCAGAGGCTGGGTCCGGTGCCAGGAAAGCCTCTCTGCGCCGCGTGGCCCTCCTCCAATCCACCAGCCAAACTTAGCCTTCCGAGGAGGTTGGGGGGGGACGGGAAGGGGAAGGGGGGGGGGCTAAAAGAGGCAACTTGAAGAGGGAAGTTTTAAAACCCCCCTGCGCGGAGCTATTCACACCAGCCAAAATCTCCCTCTGCCTTTTGATCTTAAGGGACGAATCCATCCACGCTGGGGAGGGATTCCCTGTAAGGGGGGGGTGAGCCTTTTTGCAGCCCCCACATCCAACCCGGTGCAAGGAGGGGAAGGAAATTGTGCCAGGCTGAGCTGCTAAGCTATATATATATAAGCAGCCACAGCTAAGCTATAAAAATGGGGGGTGAGACAGAGGAGGGGGGTCCTTCTCCCTCCTTGGCAACACCACAGACTGGACTCGGAAGCAAAATTATCTTCTGGGGGGGGGTGTGGGGAAAAAAAACAAACCAACAACAAAAAAAAAAA